ATTGTAACGGATCATTACAGTTTTCTGGATTGCAGTGCCTCTGTTCAGTAAGCAGAAGTTGTAGAACAATTCAGAACACTGATGTACTTGTCAGGCATCCACACATATAGATCACTGTATACACATGCAATTGTGCTGTGTGTTTAAATCAAGGCCTGTGTGTTAAATGTTGAGGCCTGTATGTATGCATGTGTTTAAACACCTCTGTTTTATGTGTGGCCATGTTTGAGGAAGGACTGTGTGTATGTTTCTGTGCATGCTTTCAATAGCTGTATGGTTGAGCCGTGGTACATGCATGTTTCCGCTGTTGTGTAAGCACATCACTCCAAATCTCTTTATCTTATAATAAAACCGAGATCTCATCTCCTCCCCAGCAATACTGCCCTAAGCAGGAAGTGGCTTTGTGCATTGTTCTTCAGCTCAATGTCACACAAACACGGGCACCTTTCACAATCACTGTCATAGTGCAATTCTGTGCCTGTTTAAAAAAAACAATATTTTGGTATTTGTTTCAGTAGTCCGTTGTTGATATAGTCCCAAAATGTTTTTCATGTCAGCAATCAAGTTTTCAAGATGTACAGTGCCTTCGGAAAGTATTCAGACCCCTTGACTTTTTCCACATTTAAATACGTTACAGCCTTATTCTAAAATGTATTAAAAATAATAATTATTGTCAGCAATCTACACAAAATTGATTAAATTGTTTTTCCCCCTCATCAATCTAAACACAATACCCCATACTGACAAAGCAAAAACAGATAAACTGAAATATCACATTTATGTAAGTATTCAGACCTTTTACTCAATACTTTGTTGAAGCATCTTTGGCAGTGACTACAGCATCGAGTCTTTTTGGGTATGACGCTACAATCTTGGCACACCTGTATTTGGGGAGTTTCTCCCATTCTTCTCTGCAGATCCTCTCAAGCTCTGTCAGGTTGGATGGGGAGCATTGCTGCACAGCTATTTTCAGGTCTCTCCAGAGATGTTCGATTGGGTTCAAGTCCGGGCACTGGCTGGGCCACTCAAGGACATTCAGAGACTTGCCCCGAAGCCACTCCTGCGTTGTCTTGGCTGTGTGCTTAGGGTTGTTGTCCTGTTGGAAGGTGAACCGTCGCCGCAGTCTAAGGTCAAGAATCTCTCTGTACTTTGCTCCGTTCATCTTTGCTTCGATCCTGACTAGTCTCCCAGTCCCTGCCACTGAAAAACATCCCCACAGCATGATGCTGCCACCGCCATGCTTCACCGTAGGGATGGTGCCAGGTTTCCTCCAGACGTGACGCTTGGCATTCAGGCCAAATAGTTCAGTCTTGGTTTCATCAGACCAGAAAATCTTGTTTCTCATGGTCTGAGAGTCTTTAGGTGCCTTTTGGCAAACTCCAAGCGGGCTGTCATGTGCCTTTTACTGAGGAGTGGCTTCCGTCTGGCCACGCTACCATAAAGGCCTGATTGGTGGAGTGCTGCAGAGATGGTTGTCCTTCTGGAAGGTTCTCCCATCTCCACAGAGGAATTAGAGCTCTGTCAGTGACCATGGGGTTCTTGGTCACCTCCCTGACATGCACTGTCAACTGGTCAACCTGCTCTGACATGCACTGTCAACTGTGGGACCTTATATAGACAGGTGTGTGCATTTCCAAATCATGTCCAATCAATTGAATTTACCACAGGTGGACACCAATCAAGTTGTAGAATCAACTCAAGGATGATCAATGGAAACAGGATGCACCTGAGCTCAATTTCGAGTCTCATAGCAAAGGGTCTGAATACTTATGTAAATCGTTTCTTTATATATTGTTTAATACATTTGCTAAAAAATCTAAAAACCTGTTTTCGCTTTGTCATTGTGGTATTGTATGTAGATTGCTGACAATTATTATTTTTAATCAATTTTACAATAAGGCTGTAACGTAACAAAATGTGGAAAAGGTCAAGGGGTCTGAATACTTTCCGAAGGCACTGTATAACTTTCGAAATACAGCCGGTATGATGCATTTTGCATTATATTTCTGTATTTTGAAAGTTACATATCTTGAAAACTTGATTGCTGACATGCAAAACATTTTGGGACTATATAAACTCAGCAAAAAAAGAAACTTCCATTTTTCAGGACCCTGTCTTTCAAAGATAATTCGTAAAAATCGAAATAACTTCACAGATCTTCATTGTAAAGGGTTTAAACACTGTTTCCCATGCTTGTTCAATGAACCATAAACAATTAATGAACATGCACCTGTGGAACGGTCGTTAAGACACTAACAGCTTACAGACGGTAGGCAATTAAGGTCACAGTTATGATAACTTAGGACACTAAAGAGGCCTTTCTACTGACTCTGAAAAAAACAAAAGAAAGATGCCCAGGATCCCTGCTCATCTGCGTGAACGTGCCTTAGGCATGCTGCAAGGAGGCATGAAGACTGCAGATGTGGCCAGGTCAATAAATTGCAATGTCCGTACTGTGAGACGCCTAAGACAGCGCTACAGGGAGACAGGACGGACAGCTGATCGTCCTCGCAGTGGCAGACCACGTGTAACAACACCTGCACAGGATCGGTACATCCGAACATCACACCTGCGGGACAGGTACAGGATGGAAACAACAACTGCCTGAGTTACACCAGGAATGCACAATCCCTCCATCAGTGCTCAGACTGTCCGCAATAGGCTGAGCGAGGCTGGACTGAGGGCTTGTAGGCCTTGTAAGGCAGGTCCTCACCAGACATCACCGGCAACAACGTCGCCTATGGGCACAAACCCACCGTCGCTGAACCTCACAGGATTGGCAAAAAGTGCTGATTCGCGTTTATCGTCGAAGGAATGAGCGTTGCACCGATGCCTGTACTCTGGAGCGGGATCGATTTGGAGATGGAGGATCCGTCATGGTCTGGGGTGGTGTATCACAGCATCATCGGACTGAGCTTGTTGTCATTGCAGGCAATCTCAACGCTGTGCGTTACAGGGAAGACATCCTCCTCCCTCGTGGTACCCTTCCTGCAGGCTCATCCTTACATGACCCTCCAGCATGACAATACCCCCAGCCATACTGCTCGTTCTGTGCGTGATTTCCTGCAAGACAGGAATGTCAGTGTTCTGCCATGGCCAGCGAAGAGCCAGGATCTCAATCCCTTTGAGCACGTCTTGGACCTGTTGGATCGGAGGGTGAGGCCATTCACCCCAGAAATGTCCGGGAACTTGCAGGTGCCTTGGTGGAAGAGTGGGGTAACATCTCACAGCAAGAACTGGCAAATCTGGTGCAGTCCATGAGGAGGAGATGCACTGCAGTACTTAATGCAGCTGGTGGCCACACCAAATACTGACTGTTACTTTTGATTTTGACCCCACCTTTGTTCAGGGACACATTATTCAATTTCTGTTAATCACATGTCTATGGAACTTGTTCAGTTTATGTCTTAGTTGTTGAATCTTATGTTCATACAAATATTTACACGTTTGCTGAAAATAAACGCAGTTGACAGTGAGAGGACGTTTCTTTTTTTGCTGAGTTTATATCAACAATGGACTAATAAAACAAATACTGAAATAGTTTTGGGGTGTCATTTTCCCTTAATAGCAAAGCCAAACCTTTTTTTTCTTTTTTTGTCCCCAATGGTGCCATGGGTAGGGAAACCATGGCAACAGCAGAGGATTATGCTCTTCATGTGCTCATGCCCTCTCTTTAGAGACTCAAATGCTGCAGCTAATTCTTGATTAGACAGCGTATCACAGCATAATAAAATGGATAATTCCAGACAGTCCTGCTTGCTTTTAGATTTTGTGGCATTTGAGAAGTGCCTATATTTCCATTATGAGGGAGGTTAGGTTGAATGTTGCACCTTTGCTACTACTTTGCCTACAATGAACGATACTATCATGGAAAGTATTTTTTATTTTAATTTTTTACTCAAATGTTGACATTTTCTCAGCCCAAGTTTGTTTAATCATGCTACACAAAGATGTAATATTTGTCACGTTGTGCCATATCTTCTTAACTGTATTGAAATCTTTGACATGACTAGTAGGGTTACAGAAAGTCAAAACCATGACCTTACAAGCTGTCACGCAAACCGTGCCATGCATTGAGTAAAAGTCTCCCTCCCTCTCCTCTCTAACACACATCCCCATGTTGGAGAGGAATTCAAACATGACAACTCTGTTCCATTCATAGTGTTCGTAGAGAGCTTTTTACAGAGAATACATGCTTACAAAGAGTTTTCGAAATGGCTCTACCTAATAGGCATGTGGGTTGAGTTATTGTAATTGGTTAAAGGCCATGGGATGGTCTTTACTTTAAGAGTTTGTTCTGTACTTTCTTCAGTACTGTACTTGGTGTGTGTGTACCGCTCATGTGCACGTGCTATTCCCCATCTTTCATTGCGCCCTGCTTGAGGTCCTCCAGTCCAAATTAAATTGTAGAGTGCGTGGAACGAGGCGGTGCCGCCTTCTGTGTTTATTGTATGGAGAAGGTTAATGAAATGAGGAAGAAATTCATGAAATGTCGTTTCACTCTCGACACTCAATCTGAGCAGGTTAATATAGTATAATTAGTAGGGCATTATATTGCATGTCCTCGTGTGAAAATAGCTGCAGTTGTACATCATTGAAACTTTGGAATGAGTCTACTCTTTCCCTGGAGTAGACAATCTTTATAAATATTCTGTGCTGGATAATGATTATTCAATGCTCAAAAATATGTAGGCTTTTTTATGTAGGCTAGGCTATAGGCCTAGGTTCAGTGTATGGTTAGGGTTTGGTGCCAAGTTTGCCCTCTGGTGGTTAGAGCACTCTGCAGTCAAACATACTGTTAAGTGCTGGGTGCAGAGTATACTGGGATCTTAATAATAGATGATAGTATTCATATATCTTAATCTAACCCTTAATCTAGTGTCTTTGAGGACAGGTGTATTTGAATAGGTTAAAAGCCCTTTGTTGAGTAGTTTATTGGGTTTTTGACATTTCTGCTGCTGATATTCTTTTTGACCATTTACTAGTTACTCCAATCCAACATGGATAGCGTATGTGGGAATTGAACCCACAACCTTTGTGGGGCCAAAACCGTGTTCCAACTATCTGAGCCTTATGATACTCCTTGCTTCATGTGGAAGTCAGCTTGATATGAAGGTCCAACTGTATTTGAATGCACTTCATTTTTAATGTGAAAGGTAAGCCTAACACCTGTCACTTTAATCTCTTGCGTAACAGGAACACCCGGGAGGTCTCTCAGCCACTTCGACAGCTCGGACGTCGGCAACACCACGACACTGTTGCTAAGCGATGATGGGGACACGCTGTTTGTGGGAGCGCGGGATGCAGTTCTCTCATTGGATGTCAGCCAGGAGGACGCCATTGTGATGAGGAGCAAGGTGGGGGGGGTTGACATTTTACCATTGACATTGACACCCGTGTTATCAAGAAGTTATTAACAAGTATGATGAGCTTTATGAGACTTCATGCATAAGACCACCAGATTTTGTGGGAAAATACTTAAGCCCTACAGTTCATGCAGGCTATATCGGATCAGCAGTTTTCTGTTGGGAAATATTAAACACTGCATAGAGCCCATCTATGCTGCAGAAAATTTCCCCCTCCAGTGGTTTAGTTCAGCGGTTGTCATCTGAAACACAAACACAGCTGGTTCAAGTCTTAACACTGACCTCTCTCCCTCCATTCTTCTCTCAGCTGGACTGGTCCCCCTCAGAGAAGGACCTGGACGAATGCTCCATGAAGGGCAAGAAAAAGGCAAGTTAACCCTGGCTCTTCCGTTCAACTCATTAGCATTATTAATGCCGCATGCTGCCAGTGTTTCCCCCTAGATTTGATCTTGGATGGGCAATTTAGGCCCCTGAAATAATATCACAAGGTTTTTCAATAGCACTTAATTTGAACTTTAGAACTTAGATGATAACTTAATACATTAGAAATTTAATAAAACAACAAAGCAAGTAGGTGGGAGGATATAAGGCTGGGCAAGCGGGTCTGTCTTAGGGAGGAGAAACATTACTCAGCGGAGGCACAGCTGTCGCTGCATTCCACTACCAGCCACCCCACCAAGACTGTAATTCCCTAATGGAATGTTTTTGCTATTTGATTGGATAACTTAAACCGGCTTCCTGGCCGTCAATGTGCTTGCGATACAAAAGGAGGAAGTTGATACAAGATGGTCTTAGCCAATAGGGATTAGCAGACCTATGGACCTGTAGGTGCAGGGTTCGCGTTAACGCAGAATTCTGCGTTTTTCACACAAGATAAAATGTCTTGCCGCATTTTGTAAACGCAGATCTAACATGCTTCTTATTGTAATTGCTGCTCGGCATCAGACTAACTTTGGGCTTCAGTTGCACTTCTCCACTTGGATGAGAATTCAAAAACAGGCATTCTTTTAGCAGACAGCACTGTGGCTGATGTGTAGCTACTTTTCTCCGGTACCTTTCTATGTGTATCCTACTTTCTCCGGTAAAATGCAAGATTAACTTCAAGCAAAACATTAGTAAATGTAAATTGCTACATTCTTTCTTTAATAAACATTAGCAATATGAAGGCCATGCATAGTTTTAGCAAAAAAGACCTTGCTTTTTCATTGTATGCGCATTTTCTTGTGTAGCTGCTAGCCAAATAGCGTTGCACTTCTGTTGTCATTTGATGAAGCTATTTTCTGCTGAATGTGTTGCACTAATGTATTTACTTTGAAGGGAAACTATAGTTGCACTCCCCTGATCACTCTATTGAAGAAAAAAAAAAAGTTGACTTTCAAAATAAAACGCAGGTGAAATGCTTTAAAACGCAGATTTTTGGATGGTCTGCGTTCTGAAAATGCAGATTTCTGAACTCTTAACATGACCCCTGACGTAGCACCACTGGCAATGGGCTTAGCTACATTTCACATATCTTCCTCTGTGACAGGTCAAACAGAGCCAATCTTCTATACCTGTCCATAGTATAAATCAGATGAGCAATGACCATAATGGCCATGCATACAAAAAAAGACCAATCGCATTATACAATATAGACTTCATCCTCTTCAAAGGTTATGCGGTAGCTTATACACGAAGGTAGCTTGCACAGCTTATGCACTAAGGTAAATATGTGTCAACATTACTGACATGGCCCACATCCCATGATTAAGATTTGAGGAAGGAGCTGTGATAAGTTATATCTGACAGAGGGATAAAAAAATTATGCGAAGCAAGCTGCTCTGAGCGTGTATGTGTGTGTGTGTGTGGTGGGGGAGAATAGACGCAATTCTCGCAATAAAGTCTTTACGCTTGATCTAATTCAAGTTAAAAGCAAGTTAATGGCCTTCATTAGAATGAACGTTGGTGGGGCAGAAACAAGGAAATGCCATGGCTTATTGTAATGTAGGTCTCCCATGAAGTAAGCCTCCACGTGTGGCTTCATTAAACTAAGTAATAAGATTAGGGTTACCAGCGCTATTGGCTTACTGGCACTAACGGTGCTCCCTCCCTCTTACCTGCTCTCTTTAGGTAGACTGACCCAAGCTTTGTTGCAGGGTCACCCAGTTCTGGTTCTGGAAGTTCATTGTGTTTTGGAGGTTTATTTATTTGGCTTGGCTATCAGGTTTATTTATTTGGCTTGGCTATCACCTATCACACTTGGCAAAAGTTTAAATTCTACAATTCCTAGAACAAGAGTATTGTGTAGACTGGAGTGACAGACAGTAGCACACAGTGTGCCTCAAGGACCAGAATTAGGAAACCATTTTACAACACTGTCTTACAGTTTTCTGCACTCACATTTCTAGGAACTGTACCTAGTTATTTGCACTGTCTAAAAATGTTCTTGGTCCCTATCTTGTGTCCCCTCTTCAGACGGACTGTCCCAACTTCATCCGGGTGCTGCAGTTCCTCAACTCAACGCACATGTATGCCTGTGGAACCTTCGCCTTCAGCCCACGCTGCACCTACATCGTAAGATGCTCTTCTTTCCAGATCATTATTTTATCTTTCTCCATGTTTCTCTTTCTCCAAACTGAAACAAGCTTTTACTGGCGCTACATACATTTGTACAGTATGTTGGAACCCACACCTACATAGATTATTTTCTCAAAATACTTTTCTCATACTCAAATAAAAACAAGCTTTATCGTCACCAAATATACGATTCAGTGTTATCCAAGCAGTGTACTCAAGGGCAAATACAGTGAGGACAACAAGAACTTAACAAGTTTGTATTATTCATTCTACACAATCTCGAATTTACATCACAGTCTCTAACTTATTTTATTGGTTGTTTGTCCGTATTTGCTCACTCCTTCTGCCACTGCCTCCCTCACCCTCTCTGTACTAATTTTTGTTCCATCTATCACTTCCTCTCTCCCACTCACTGAGTATCTTCTCCAACTCTCTTAAGAGGGTAATGGTGCTTGGTCATGGGCTGTACAGTAAACCTATATTAGATATCCAATGGCAACGACATTAGTGCCAAGCACATCACGGCTGTAGGTTATTTTTTGCTCAGAAACGTGCGTGCCAGTGCTTCACACAAGATTGATAATTTCTTAATCCAGTTATGTGTGGTACTGAGCTCAACAACCAGCCCCGGCAATGTTTTCGTACTCTGCTGGCTCGCCCCCTGAGTCTGATGCCCAGGGGCTGAGACTGTGTGTGTGTGTGTGTGTGTGAGAGAGCATTTCTGTGTGATGATGTTTAAGAGAATGGATCCTTGTGTGACCACTAGTCCAGCCTGTTAACTAGGGTCATGTTGATGCTGGCAGCTTTACTCTACTACATTCACATAGCCAACGCTAGCCGGGCCACTCAGACAGGATATCCCTCATATATAATGATGCCCAAGTCTGGGCTACACTTGTATCTATCTGTGTCTGTGGTATAGATAAACCATTTGCTGTTGCTCCTTTATATACTTAGCTAGAATAAAGCATCCTTTAGCATCAAAGAAGCCTGTGTTTGTCTTAAGTTGCCTAACACTTGTAGGTTTTTAGCGGCTATACTGGAAGCGTATCCCAGAGGAAGCTCAAGCCTCTTAAAGTATTTACCCTCATGAGTCGATGGTCAATTAGCAGAAAATAGAGCCAAGCATAATGTCACACTTCAAAATGACGATTAATTGACTACAGGGGGAGGGTATCACTTGTGGCATATGCTGGGCAAAAATTAAGAGTCCAGTGTAGCAGGTCTGTAACTCTTATGGTCTTCGATAAAACTGCACTAAACACGGACAACGTTGGCTCCCTCATGAGTCATGACCTTTGGTGTGACCCTACTCTGCTCTTTTCCCTATAGAACTCTGAGATGTTCTCCCTGGTGATGAGCCCCAGCGGAAAGCCAGAGGAGGGCAGAGGTCGCTGCCCCTACGACCCCTACCAACGTAACTCGGCCATCACCGTCGGTAAAGAGATGACTCGCAGGAAGTGGAGGGGGTAGATAAAGAACAACAGGGGCAGAGCCTTCTCTTTAGACAAGGAAATGTAATTGGCAAAGGGCATTGATGACATCATAGCCTTACACGTTCTCCAGGAAGTGTTCCATTACGGTCGGAGCTCCAGTCAATGTAATCACTCTAACCCAATGGCTTTCAATGTACTGAATGGAACCAATGATATCATGCTCGTCATGGTATACTGGTGTCTACTCTTGTAGATCTGAAAGGATTTGATAGGTCTGAGTTATATGACAAAAAAATGTCACCCAACCAATGATAAGGCAATATGAAGCAATTAACATATTGCTTGAACCAATCCAATCCTTTCAGATCTACAGGAGTGCCTAGGGGGATAGGGATCCATGTGGGATTCATGTGAACTTCTTGGTCTCTTCGATGTCATATTTGTCCCATCTCATTGTAGGAGGGTGTAGGGTGTTAAGAATAGTGTGCATAAAGGTAGTGGAGATTGCCATGATAATGTGGTGGCGTTTAGTCTGTGTTTGTGTGAGAGCGAGGAAGAGCAGATGCTAATAATCCTCTTGTCCATAAATCCTTGGCCTGATGTTTTTATCTTTATGTGGGCGGCATGTGACTGCTAGCAAACATTACAGTAGGGGGGCAGTTTTACCTATATATCTGCCAGTGGCCATAATTAGCATTTTATGTTTTCGAGATTGAGTTCACTTACCGTTTGAAATTTGACTGGTTGTGAGAATCTCTCCCCAGCAGAGCTTGCTCATATGACAACTCTGCCACGTACTACGCAAGGTTAATGGTAAACATTGCAAACATCTTGTATCCCTCGCAATAAATATCAAGTCTTGACAGAATCTGTCGTCACCTGCTAAGGCATTGTGTCTTGATGTGGAAGGCCATTTCATGCACTGACTGTTTTTCTTTCCTCTGACCATGACCTTGTTGTCATCCAAAGCCAGTACATTTATTTAACTCTATCATTAATAGAGGTATTGCACTCTGTTAATGGTGGTGGAATTTGTCTGCTTTGGCTGTTATGTAATTCTCCTGTATGTTTACTCAGATTAAACGTGTTTGAGGCACACAGAGGCTCGTACTGGATGACGCTCACTGTGTGTGTGTGTGTCTTCAGATGGAGAGCTGTACACTGGAACGGTAGCGGACTACATGGGAAACCGGCCAGTCATCTCCCGCCACCTCAGCGAGGGCAGCCATGTTGATCTGAAGCTGGATGACACTTTGGGATGGCTGGAGGGTACGTGTCTGCAACGAACTACTCATGATGTATTACACACATCCCCAAGGCTCTTACATATATTGGATATTTAGCAATATGTGACAGAGGGAAAAATACCTACAAGAGACTTTTCCCACATAAAGCACAGCTTAAAGGAAATGTACATTTCGACTTCTATATTTAAACTGGTCTTTTAAAGGACTCAATTTTTTTAAAGGAAATAGTTGAATCATAAGTCGTTTGGTGTTGGTTAAGCCTCCTAACCAATACGTCTGGAATACTTTCCAATGATTTGTTCGTTAATTAATTGGCCTAACAAGCTTTCAGTAACACACTTATCTCTCGATTAGTCTAGCCAATTGTTCAATCTTTTTCTCCAGATCCCACTTTCATCAGCTCCAACTTCGTCCCCAGTGAGGAGAAGATCTATTTCTTCTTCAGCGAGGTGGGCCGGGAGTACGACTTCATTGACAAGTTCACTGTATCTCGCATCGCCCAAGTCTGCACGGTAAGACCCTAAGAGCTGCATTGTTGTGTGGTTGTACGTCATTGATTGTGTGGTTGTACATCTGCGTGTGTGCAGATGCGTGTTGATAATAATCCTCTCAGCCATTTCCTGTCTGTCCCAGAGTGACATTGGGGGCCATCGTACCCTGCAGCGACGCTGGACCACCTTCGCCAAAGCCCAGCTCCTGTGCCAGTCTGACCACGAGCTGCCCTACAATGTCATCCAGGACATCGTCACCCTCCCGCCACCTGAGGGGGCCCCAGTGGACGACACCCTTTTCTTCGGCATCTTCAGCTCTCAGTGGTCAGTAGTTTACACATTCTATACGCTATGAATGGGATTAAGTAATCTGTTGACAGTCTCCTGTACGAATGGCAACTGTTGTTTCTTGTTAGCAGGTCTTAATAATATGTACAGGTCTGTCACCAGATCTTAACCCAATTGAACACTTATGGGAACCAGTAGCGGTGTGTGGGTAAAATCACTGGGGAAGCCAGAAAGAAAAATGCCATATTACAACCTATGTGTTCTGATAATTGCGTTGTTTGCTCTATAACCTGTGAGTTCATATGCCTTGACACCGTGATGTGTAGGCCTAAAGGCCAAGACAATAAGAAGACAGTGGCAGAATAAATTCAACCACACCTTTGTTTCATCACAAAACCGGAGAGCAACATCTGTCCAGTGAAGTCCACAAAGCATATTGCATGTAACAAAAAGTTTCATGACCTACAGCATGGTCAAGCAAGTTCATGTTTCTGACATTTTCAGACCACTAAACAACTATTTATTTAGAACCATGGAGATTTACCGCAAGTCGTAAAGAAAACAGGAGCTGCCTCCACTATTCCAGCACCATTTCAACTTCAACATTTCAATATCATCAAATCACCTATGCTTAGTCTAATACAGTGACAACTAAAAGATACCAAAAACAATTTAGTCCAATCAACAAAAGCTAAATATGATGTGGCTGTCCATGGTTCAGATATCTCTCTCTATGTGTGGATTGGTGGGTGGGTGGGTGCGTATTGAACTTCCATCTTCTCAGGCCAGGGGTACAATGTATGAATTAATGCTTGGATCAGAATTGCCGTTATAATCAATGGCCAGTACGGCGAATTAAGTAAAACCACAAGTCCAAATCCCTATCTCCATCCATGGCTAATTTAGGAAAGGGCCAATCTTAGCTCGCTGGATAGCCACACAGCACAATGAGGTGCAACAATTCAAGTTGTTTCTGTCAATTACGTATGCTCTCAATGCGATTTGATAGGAGTGACGTCAAATCCAAACTGGCTTCCCTTGACACTTTCTTTTTTTTTGGTGCGCAGGGACTATTCACAGTTGAGCTCACTCAGTTTAGCTCAATGCTGATTGGCTATTATTTTATTTAAAAATCATCAAGGGAGGCCAAATACTCGCTGGCGTCCCCTGCGTTCAATGCAACGGGCGGCAGCAATGTCATACTCTTGGACCAGATAGCATCAGATAGATGGCCTACACATAGAGGGGCAGTGTTTCGCTCGCTCAGATGCTTTCTCCGGTGAGATACATTCAGCCTCTTGCAAATTGAAAGAAAATTATGAAACACAGAGAGACGAAAGATAGATTATTTGATGTTTTTTTTCTTTTTTCACATCCATGAATGCACGCCACTGATGGGAACACTTTCTGGAGCGGTGTCTGAGACTGCGTTTTCCACCACCATCAACAAAACACAAAATGATGGAATTTCTCGTGGAAGAATGGTGTCGCACCCCTCCAATATAGAGTTCTAGACACTTGTAGAATCTTTGCCACGGCACATTGAAGCTGTTCTGGCGGCTCGTGGTGGCCCAACGCCCTATTAAGATACTTTATGTTGGTGTTTCCTTTTTTTTGGCAGTTACTTGTACCTTGCTAGAGAATGACCAGTCCCGGTCTTTTCTAGTACAGTATATGAACTGAAAAATATTTGTCAAATAAGACCACTTTTTTGAAAGACTGGTTGGTGTGTCGAGGGTTTTTGAAACGAGTGCGTTTCAGAAGGGTGTTCATGATTTGCGGATTTTTTACAAGTTTTTACAAATTTAGCTGCTACCAGATTGTAGCATGGTTGTGACCGCAAGTGTCTTTGATGTTTGTGCACTACTAGGTCGGTGAACTCAGGGCAGTCGGCAGTGTGTGCGTTCCGCCTTGGTGACATCAAAGCGGTCTTCGCAGGCAACTACAAGGTCCTGAATCGGGACACGCTTCGGTGGAGCATGCGGGTTCAGGAGAAGGTCGCCAACCCGGGAGAGGTAAGCAGTGTCCCCGTCTCGAATGACAGAGGTCCCCAGAGGGTTAGAATAATTAAATTGGCTTGTTAGCTAATTTTGACTTCTTCTAAGAAGTTGGATGAAAGGAAAAGATACATAAGAAGTTAAAACAACTTCTCTAGACAAAACAATGCTGGGAGAATGCCTTGTTTATACTTGCCTAGGTAAATGTTAGTTAAGTTTCTGATTTGTCTTGGATTTCTTTACATATTGTGTTGTCTCCCCATGTTGTATTGGATTGAGGATCAATCAGCCATGCCTTACATCAGTGGTATTCAAATGTAAAACATTTATTTGCATTTTTTGGGAACAAAACATTCTGAGTACAGATTATTGTATGGGACAATATACAAACGTTTTTGAGAAAGATAATTTGAAAGATTCAATTTTATTGAGTAAATGTATTTATTGGTTTCTTTTTGATTTTGATAAGAGATGAAGATGCAATGAATTGAAGGTTACTTGTTGTATAAATCTAAATTTACAGATTTTAAGGTTGTGTCATCGGATTTGGGGTGGGGTGAAATTCTTGGGGAAACAATGGGGTCCCCAGAAATTCTGGTGGAAAAAATGGGGTCCCATTTGAAAAAGTTTGAATACCACTGCCTTAGCTCATAAGCGTGGCCTGGTTTGATGTTCAATAAAGAAGAAACTTCCACACATAATAATAAATGTGATATTGGAGTTTTAAGACTTTGGAGTCTTCTTTATTCATAGTTTCCTTTTCTTCAAGCTCCTTAACATACTTGCTGTGGATGACTCCGACACAGGCCAATTGGCATACAGCTGGATGTTTCTCAGTAGCTGTGCCTGGCTCAATCCCATTTGTCTCTCCCTCGTCTCAGTGTGGTCTGCACAACGCCTCAGACAACACCCTTCGCTTTGTCAAAGAAAACTTCCTTGCGGACGACAGCGTACACCCTGTGGGGCGGAGCCTGACCATGGTGTCACCTGACCAGCACTACAGCCACGTGGTCACGCAGAGAGTACAGGCCGCCAATGGCAAGGACTACACCGTTCTCTTCCTGCTCACAGGTACTGGACATGTATTTAACTCGGTGTGGCAGGCAGTTGAACTGGAATCGGCCTAAATATGAATGTATTACTCAGTACATGTATGCATGTGCACACCATTACCGTGTTAGTCAATTCTTTCACACTTGCTTTCAGAATCGGGCTACCTCCACAAAGCAGTGCTGCTGGAGAAGGGTGCACACATCATTGAGGAGATCCAGGTCTTCGAGCGGCCTCAGCCCGTGAAGAACCTCCTGCTCTCCATATCCAAGGTACCGTTCGAGTCATTAGGTATTCTCCATCTCAAGTCGAGTACTCATCCCACTTTACCCTCGCTTCGCTGTCACATTACATTTTAATGCAGAACCTGCTGGCACTTAACTTTACTTGAGTTACATAAGTATTCAGACCCTTTGCTATGGGACTCGAAATTGAGCTCAGGTGCATCCTGTTTCCATTGATCATCCTTGAGATGTTTCTACAACTTGGAATCCACCTGGGTAAATTCAATTGATTGGACATGATTTGGAAAGGCACACACCTGTCTATATAAGGTCCCAGAGTTGACACTGCATGTCAGAGCAAAGACCAAGCCATGAGGTCGAAGGAATTATCCGTAGAGCTCCGAGACAGGATTGTGTCGAGACACAGATCTGGGGTAGGGTACCACAAAATGTCTGCAGCATTGAAGGTCCCAATGAACACAGTGGCCTCCATCATTCTTAAATGGAAGAAGTTTGGAACCACCAAGACTCTTCCTAGAGCTGGCCGCCCGGCCAAACTGAGCAATCGGGGGAGAAGGGCCTTGGTCAGCGAGGTGACCAAGAACCCAATGGTCACTCTGACAGCTCCAGAGTTCCTCTGTGGAGATGGGAGCACCTTCCAGAAGAACAACCATCTCTGCAGCACTCCACCAATCAGGCCTTTTATGGTAGAGTGGCCAGACGGAAGCCACTCCTCATTAAAAGGCACATGACAGCCCGCTTGGAGTTTGCCAAAAGGCACATAAAGACCCTCAGACCATGAGAAACAAGATTCTCTGATCTGATGAGACAAACATTGAACTCTTTGGCCTGAATGCCAAGCGTCATGTCTGGAGGAAACTTGGCACCATCCCTGCGGTGAAGCATGGTGGTGGCAGCATCATGCTGTGGGGATGTTTTTCAGCGGCAGGAACTGGGAGACTAGTCAGCATCGAGAGAAAGATGAACGGCGAAAAGTACAAAGAGAGCCTTGAAAACCTTCTCCAGAGCGCTCAGGACCTCAGACTGGGGCGAAGGTTCACCTTCCAACAGGATAACAACCCTAAGCACACAAGACAATGTAGGAGTGGCTTCGGGACTAGTGTCTGAATGTCCTTGAGTGGCCCAGCCAGAGCCTGGACTTGAACCCGATCAAACATCTCTGGAGAGACCTGAAAATAGCTGTGCAGCAATGCTCCCCATCCAACCTGACAGAGCTTGAGAGGATCTGCAGAGAAGAATGGGAGAAACTCCCCAAATACAGGTGTGCCAAGCTTGTACACCTGTAATCAATTTTAGAATAAGGCTGTAACGTAACAAAATGTGGAAAAAGTAAAGGGGGTCTGAATACTTACCGAAGGCACTGTACATCTGGTCACCTCATGCGTGACGTCCTTGTCAGTTCCTTTTACCGTGAGTAAAACGATTGCTCGCCCCTGAGGAGTAGATCACATTAAAGTTTAACAGTGGAGCGAGTGTCACGCTAGTTATTTGCGTGATGCATATGGTGGGGCAGGCAGGCCCTGGTGAGGGGTCAGTGTATGTGTGTATGCGTGCGCTGGGTTCATCTGCTCTCTAACCCCACCAGTATGCCCAGAGGTCTCAACCAATAACGTCACATCTGCTGGGGACTGGAAGATGGACATGGCCTGGGGAGTCTGTGTCACTTGCTGGCTTCACGCCTTCTGTGAAGTGCGAGGTGGTTGGTTAGCACGGAAGAGACACAAAGTCAATTGCACACGCAGAAACTGTGAAACATTTTTATTACCACCGCATATAATATTGCAAGGTTTTATCTAACAGCTTTCTTTGCAAATAATGAAATGCTGATGAGTAATAGAAATTGTCGAATTTTTGGGACTGTTTAACTATTGTTAAGTGTACACCATGGGGGGGAGGGAGAGAGAGGTGTGCACAGTTCAGTTTACTTCTGCTTCAGTATGGCTGTCTGTTGAAGTCATTTATTTAGGACATAATGTCACGTAGGGGTCACAACATGTCGCAGATAATCTTTCTTCTCTGATTGAACAAAAATATGCTCATTTAGCAGACACTTTTATCCAAAGCAACTGTCGATTGAAAGGCTTATATTCAGTACGTGACCCATACCCACAACCCCGGTGTTGAGAGCGCCACGCTTCAACCAAGACTAACTGTCAAAATTAGCTTAAATTAATTATTCTCGTAATTACTACCCAATCCATCAGTTTGTGCCCTTGGTCATTAAGTGTGTACTAATGCTAACATGTTTCTGTCCTTATCCCCTATGTACACTAACATTAGCGACTTAGCACTAATGCTATCCTTCACCCCCACAGGGTGTGGTGTTTGTGGGCTCATCAGAAGGCGTGGTGAGGGTCCCGGCCTCCAACTGCTCCTACTACTGGAGCTGCGCCGAGTGTGTGCTGTCTCGGGATCCCTTCTGTGGCTGGGACCCCTCCAACAAAGTCTGCACCCACGCCACCAGCATCCAGGACAACGTGTGAGTGTCACACCCTATCATGTTACATTACATTACAACCACTCTACCCAGCAGGCACAACACCAATACACAGGAGGATTTATAGAATCTACCATGGCAAGTATAATATGCTACTTGCATAGAGCTGGGTGTTAAAAATTTCTTTTGGATAAAGGCCGTTGCATTTGATTTTGTTGAATTAATTAATTTCCTTCAGGGCTGGATTCCCTGCACAGATGAGCCTAGTCCTTTACTAAAAAACACTTTAAATGGATAATCTCCATTGAACATGCTTCATAGTACATGAGTAGACTTAAAGTGTCCCTAAAACCGTCCCATCATATTTAAGAATAAACAGAATAACATTGAATGGGTATTTATTTAGGGTATAGGTAAAGTACATACTTTATTGAGTCATATAATTTTTTTTATTTTTATTTTTTTTTACATTATAGAGTTAATCGAAAGGGGACCATCGCGCCCTCCCAGAAGTTTAGTTGGTGCGTAAAACCTGTGAATTCAGATAAGCAAAAAGTGATGGGTCCGCACTCAGAAAGATGTCGCATAAAGCTTACTTCATTTTTTTATATAATAAAAAATAATATTCACTGCATCAGGGATAGCGTACACAGACGTTTTGGCTTTGCAGCCTTCAGTGTGTAGGTACAATTGAATTATTTGTATGGCCTCCCGAGTGGCGCAGCGGTCTAAGGCACTGCATTGCAGTGTTGCGGCATCACTACAGCCTGGGGTTCGATCCCAGGCTGTGTCACAACCGGCCGTGACCGGCAGTCCCATAGGGTGGCGCACAATTGGCCCAGTGTCGTCCGGGTTAGGGGAGGGTTTTGCCGGGGGGCTTTAATTGGCTCATAGTGCTCTAGCGACTCCTTGTGGCGGGCCGGGCGCCTGCAGGCTGACTTCGGTCGTCAGTTGAACAGTGTTTCCTCCGACACATTGGTGCAGCTGGCTTCCGGGTTAAGCGAGCGGGTGTTAAGAAGCACGGCTTGGCGGGTCATGTTTTGGAGGACACATGACTCGACCTTCTCCTCTCCCGTGCAGCGATGAGACAAGATCGTAATCACAAAAGGGGGTACAATCTTCTACAAATAATAATTTATTTGTACCTACACACTAAAGAAGGCTGCAATGCCAAAACGTCTGTGTACACTATCCCTGATACAGTGAATAATAATACGAATATGAAGTAAGCTTTATGCGTCATTATAGAGTTAACCAGAATGTAAGCGGGAACTTTGCATGGACAGACGCACAGAATAAATCACACAAACTCACACGTAAACAAATGCATCGACCCACACACACACACACACACACAAACAGTGTTTATCTCCTCTTCTACAGAGGCCAGGATGTGGATGAAGGGAATGTGCAGGAGGCGTGTGCTTCGCCCAGATCCAGATTTGGACTGCACAAAGGTAAAGCAGGTGAGAATCACACATCTTCGTACTTATCCTTTTATCTATCTGTCAGACTAGTATAGTATAGCTAGATAGTATAGGATTCATAGGTTCCACCTCTATCACTCGGTTGCATCATGCCATTGTTATGAATGTTCTCAAGCCGCCCGCTGCCGGCAGCGCCGTAGTGGTGCCCTAAAGTGGTGATAAGCCCAGTTGTTCTGGATGGAGGCTAACTACTACTAATGCCTGAAAATACGATGACATTGCTAAAGTAGTCAAATATTTAGTAGGAAACAACTTTGCGAGCATTATCATGTCGTCAAATGTACTTTAGTCAGATGGCAATGTTGTCATTAGCTAGCAATGTTTGTCAAAAATAGCTAGCAATGCTAATGTTAGCTAGCTAAAATCCGGTGGCCTCCCCTCAATCTTAGCTAGCTAGCTAATGTTATACTGCATCTAAAGTCAATCTGGCGCCAACAAAATTATGACAAAAGGTTTTCCTACTAATTATCTGCCTCCTTTTGAATGTCATAGTATTTCCAAGGCACTTTTGATGAAATCTTCATCAGCGCTCATTGACGATGCATTGAGTAGAATGCTCAGTCGGGCATCAATCCAAAACGAACATTCAAAACAATATTGTGACGAAACATGCAACTCATGAATACATAGATACACACTGCAGTGTGTGTGTGCTCAAGCCTTTGTTTGTGGGCTAGCCGCTAGCTTAGCCGCTAACTGCCATATCTAGCATCCGTCTCAGTCTAAGCTTGGGCCTCAGTCAGTGACTCCTGATTTCTGTTAGACTCCTTTCCCCCAGGCGAGCTGGTGTCTGTGTCCCTGAATGAGGTGGTGCGACTGCAGTGCCCAGAGGCCTCGAGCCTGGCCCACCGCCACTGGGAGCGACCCAACAGCCGCCTCTCCCCGGACCTCTACCTGCAGTTGGAGGACGGAAGCCTGCACTTCCTGGCCACGCCCACCACCCTGGGCCACTACCTGTGTCTCTCCACAGAGAATGGCTTCCAGCAGAACCTGGCCATCTACCAGGTAAAGCAGAAGAGCAGCCCCACCCCTCTGGCCACTGCCCCTGGCATGACGCCCACCCGCCCCCAGAGCCCGGCACTCCCCCAGAGCCCGGCCCTCCCCTCAACCACCCAGGCCAGCTCAGGAGGATGGTTCACCCCACACTTGACTGGGCCCAAGCAGACCGAGCCGGAGCCCACCGAGCCGGCAAGGGAGACTCCGGTCACCACGAGGCGGACCAGCAGGAACTTTACTTTCTGGGTGGAGCAGTCGGGGGAGACTGAGGCGGAGTCGCGGGGAGGGGAGAAGCTGCTGCTGGTGAACACCTACCTGAAGGAGCTGTTGGTGGTGTCTGTACTGCTAGTGTGCTGCGTTAGCATTCTGCTAACCATGGCGCTATATAGCATGAAGCAGCGCTGCCGCAGCAGGACGGCGCCCCAGGCCAACACCCCAGGGAGGGACTCTGAGAGGGGTGGCCCTCAGGAGCGGGAGGCCCTTCAGGGGAATCAGTCGCCGCGCAGCAATGACAAGCGGAACGGGCAGCTGGCACACAACGGCCAAGCCAACGGGGTCGTGTGCAACGGCACGCCGAGGGGCTCTAATGGGCATCTGCCCAACACCCCTATCTGAGCACAGTCAACCACATCTCACCCTAACTATTGACATACCATATCCACACTACCTGAGAACAATGTAGCCTTTACATGGTCACTCTGATTTTACATCAACACGGCTAACTGCAGCACTGTGTGTGGACTGTCATGACAGTGAGTAAGACTGTATGGCCTGATGTGGTAACTCAACTAAAAGTACACCGTTTTCTTCTGGTACGATACCAGCCTGTGTGAATAAAATGGGCAGACTGATAAACATGATTCACTGCTGTTATATAATATTGTGTATTATTGTGCTGTATATACTTTGGAGACGAGGTTCCATTGACTAGACTGTTATTGTGTATTTAATGAAAGAGCCAAGAAAGCCAATTTTATCGAATGTACATGAAGGACTGCATCACTTCACTGCCACAAAAACTGCCTCTGCCACTACACTGCCACAAAAAAAAAACGAAATGGCTCCTAAAGAGGTTTCCTAGCACTAACTATTAACTAACGTGTCCACTCAAATCACAGGCAGTGTGGATGCATATCGCGAGGAACACAAAAACAGCCTTTTCTGTTGTAACAGTGATTTTGTAGCATTAGGTCTACATTGCTAAACCACTTTCTTTCTATGCAGCGTCATAGCGAAAGTTAGCGGAGCACGTTGTATGGTACAATGTTCTATTGTTATTTATTTTGCTGGTTTATTTTTGTCATTCTGTTGAATGTGCTGCCAATGACTTCAAGTATTTCTAACTTGCTTTTCTTTTTTCTCTTTCACCCAAAACGCACATTTCTGGAAATCCTGCAGTCTGTGAAGCCATGAGAACATGATGTTGATTTGACACTGTAGGGCTTATCTCTTCCAGAAACAAACAAGTTTATGCTGGCTAGAGACCTTTTAGTTTAGATAATGTATGTGTTGTCAGCTAATTAACTGGACAGAAATCTGAAAATCACTTCGAAAACTGTGATATTGCCAAAATTGCATTTAGAATGAAAACACATGTTTTTTTGCTAGACAGCTATTCAGAAACTAAAAACAGATGAAAAAGTTGGTTCATTTTAAGCTGCTTTAGATGCTGATGAGAAAGACTAATAGTTATTAAACAAATGTATGGTACTCCTTGTCTTTGGTACAGATCACAAACCACTTAAATAAGTTGTTTTGTCTTTATTTTTATACAATCGTATCTTACTGTTGCAAATAAACTGTTCAATTTGTGCAAAAATAATCTGTGTCATTTTCGTTGAATTTAGGCCTACTGCAGAAAATCACATTATTTTAAAGCATTTTAAAGCTTCACAGTAATATGTTATTACTGTAAGCTTCATTGAGTAGGATTTAAGAGAAAATGACTCCAGGCTATTCTCCATAAAAATGTGCCATTGTGCTGTGTTGTGAAACCATTTTTCACAAAAATATGATTCTGTCCCGTAAGTCTTCATAGTCAAAAGACCAACGATTGGGCAATAGATCAGATTCTGGCTGCCTGTGTAAATGCAGCCATAGTACGATATGCCTAAGGGCATACAGAAGGGCTTGATAGAGAAATACATTTGATGGCTTGCTACAATGAACTGATAAGATGACTGGACTCAACATGATCAGATTGATTTTCATCAGTGTCTTTAGATGTAATATACAGTAGTTTGTCGACTGAACTGTAGGTAGGTCATTTATGACATTTTTAGAATATCACTTTAAAAGTTATTCCATTTGTCCACTGTGTGGCAACCACTACATAGAAACAGCCACTCAACTGATACCAGTTTAGCCAAAGATTTTTATAACTAACCCAAGATAGACCAGAGCATGTCGTTTCCAATGGGAGCAAATTAATCATAGTGGGCAGAAGAAGCATGGATGTGGGCAGAGCCAAGCATGAGCTAGTAAGATCCTATTGGTGCATTCTAGCATTTATTTGCATATTTCCATTAGGGAACACCTACTCTGTGAAGTATCTAAATTTGCCCATGCACTCTTAAACAATGCAATTTTTTTACAACTTTGGCAAAGGGTAAAGTCTACAAAACACACTCCACTCTTTTTGTTACATATTCTAGTTTTGCAAACAGAAAACTGTATGGAGATCAAATGTTTAATCGATGAGAAAATTAGCAGAATGTCGGCCAAAATCCATCTCGCTCCATCTTCTTCCACTGCCGGCCACTGGGCATCCTCTCATCACCATATTTGGTAGTGAGTGGAAACGCCAACCGGATGCTTCACATTTATACATCCGGCAATGATTTTGTCCAATTTGTCACGAAAATGCACTGACGAGGGAAAACGTTTGTTGACGTGTGGCTTGATTGAACCATATTATGCAGCAAATGTGCGAGATTGGTTGAAATTGCGAACCCTATTTTTGTAGCGCGTGATCGGTCAGTTTTATGCGACATCACCATATTTGGTAGTGCGTGGAAACGCCAACCGGATGCTTCACATTTATACATCTGGTGAACTATCTGGCTCATTGTTCGTTCTGTGATTTATCATTAGTGTTGGAATCTTGCCATTCGTCACCAAGTTATTCAAACTAGATTTATAGTAGTAGGTAATATCCAGTAATCTGCACTGACGTGATACTTTAAACGTGTGTTTGTTATAATGATACTTAAAAGAAGAGTACAAACCCCAACAATAGATCGACTAAGGATGCCAGGTAATAAACTCCCTCTCACTCTCACACACATAATACAGTGGGGAAAAAAAGTATTTAGTCAGCCAGCAATTGTGCAAGTTCTCCCACTTAAAAAGATGAGAGAGGCCTGTAATTTTCATCATAGGTACACGTCAACTATGGCAGACAAAATGAGAAAAACATTTCCAGAAAATCACATTGTAGGATTTTTTATGAATTTATTTGCAAATTATGGTGGAAAATAAGTATTTGGTCAATAACAAAAGTTTCTCAATACTTTGTTATATACCCTTTGTTGGCAATGACACAGGTCAAACGTTTTCTGTAAGTCTTCAAGGTTTTCACACACTGTTGCTGGTATTTTGGCCCATTCCTCTATGCAGATCTCCTCTAGAGCAGTGATGTTTTGGGGCTGTCGCTGGGCAACACGGACTTTCAACTCCCTCCAAAGATTTTCTATGGGGTTGAGATCTGGAGACTGGGTAGGCCACTCCAGGACCTTGAAATGCTTCTTACGAAGCCACTCCTTCGTTGCCCGGGCGGTGTGTTTGGGATCATTGTCATGCTGAAAGACCCAGCCACGTTTCATCTTCAATGCCCTTGCTGATGGAAGGAGGTTTTCACTCAAAATCTCACGATACATGGCCCCATTCATTCTTTCCTTTACACGGATCAGTCGTCCTGGTCCCTTTGCAGAAAAACAGCCCCAAAGCATGATGTTTCCACCCCCATGCTTCACAGTAGGTATGGTGTTCTTTGGATGCAACTCAGCATTCTTTGTCCTCCAAACACGACGAGTTGAGTTTTTGCCAAAAAGTTCTATTTTGGTTTCATCTGACCATATGACATTCTCCCAATCCTCTTCTGGATCATCCAAATGCACACTAGCAAACTTCAGACAGGCCTGGACATGTACTGGCTTAAGCAGGGGGACACGTCTTGCACTGCAGGATTTGAGTCCCTGGCGGCGTAGTGTGTTACTGATGGTAGGCTTTGTTACTTTGGTCCCAGCTCTCTACAGGTCATTCACTAGGTCCCCCCGTGTGGTTCTGGGATTTTTGCTCACTGTTCTTGTGATCATTTTGACCCCACGGGGTGAGATCTTGCGTGGAGCCCCAGATCGAGGGAGATTATCAGTGGTCTTGTATGTCTTCCATTTCCTAATAATTGCTCCCACAGTTGATTTCTTCAAACCAAGCTGCTTACCTATTGCAGATTCAGTCTTCCCAGCCTGGTGCAGGTCTACAATTTTGTTTCTGGTGTCCTTTGACAGCTCTTTGGTCTTGGCCATAGTGGATTTTGGAGTGTGACTGTTTGAGGTTGTGGACAGGTGTCTTTTATACTGATAACAAGTTCAAACAGGTGCCATTAATACAGGTAACGAGTGGAGGACAGAGGAGCCTCTTAAAGAAGAAGTTACAGGTCTGTGAGAGCCAGAAATCTTGCTTGTTTGTAGGTGACCAAATACTTATTTTCCACCATAATTTGCAAATAAATTCATTAAAAATCCTACAATGTGATTTTCTGGATTTATTTTCTCAATTTGTCTGTCATAGTTGACGTGTACCTATGATGAAAATTACAGGCCTCTCTCATCTTTTTAAGTGGGAGAACTTGCACAATTGGTGGCTGACTAAATACTTTTTTTCCCCACTGTATATCCTTAACTCTGTATATGGTAGTATTTTCTCAGGGACATGAGATTACAGCGAGCATCGGGGTGTGACATCAATCTATTGTCAACATCTAAATACCTGAAAATGGATTCTGTAGATTTACAGAGGAGACACAATTCACTGTGACCAAGTATTTTCAAAGGTTAATGATCAATTCTGTTTATTTGCAGCAAAGCATCATCAGCCCACCCAAGGCCACTATGCAAGATTACTTAAGTCTAACCTGATTTGAGGCTGTAACAGGCATATCTGCTGCTAGGCTCAAGTTGGCAGAGGGTGTCATCCGGATTGAGAATGGAAAAATTTATGAGTTGTTGACAGAATAAATCTAAGGGGAACCATTCAGTCTGGATTCTGTGAGGGCAAACAGAGTCCAAAAAAGTTTGAAGGACTGCAGTGAAGAGGAGTATGAGCAGATTGTAAGCAACTTGAAAGGGACTTCCTGAGAAATATGTGTGGGACGGGCTCCATGGAGAATTGCATGAACACCTCAAATATTACAAGGCAAGGGTACAACATGGACAATTTAAATTTCCTTTGTTTGTTGGCCGAATGTGCAGTAGAGGCCACAAATGACAAGATCTCAATCCCAGACACTTTTCTCAGAGGAATCCAGTGACTCTCTTTTTATGCCAGGACCTGAAACAACGGACTATTGGAAAAACTATTTATCATAAAACTTAAAGCATAGACCAAAATTGTAA